GATTTGGCGTTATCAGGCGCTTCAAAATCGTCATCTTCATCTTCGGCCTCCTTTGCTGGAGCAAGGTTGAGGCCGGCGAAAGCAGCCTCAAAGTCAGGCGCGCCTGCCTTGGCCCCTTGGGGAGCAGCCTCGGGTTCCTTTGTCCCGTCACGTTGGGCTTCACCACCCACAATCGGTGCCCCTGTGCTTGACTCTACTGAGTGTGGAGCATCAGGGGCAGTGGTTGGGTCTTCACGGTTCGGTAGGAGTCCGTTGTACTCGCGTGGCAAGTCTCCTGGCTCCTGCTTTTCAACGGAGTCCTCATACTTTGGGGGGCTTGGCTGCGATTCCGCCGCAGGAGGCTGGCTTGCAGTATCCGCATTTCCAGGAGTGGGGAACGCTGCCAGTTGGGACGGCTCAATAGAATCAGGATTGGGTGCTGCGGCGATTTGAGTCTGTGGAGGGAAGGCGGGGGTGAAATTATCCTCAAAGCCCAAGGGGGCTTCGCTGTCGGAGCTCTCATCTCCATCGTCAAGTTCGCGAATGGGAGGAAATTCTGACTCAGGGGCGGCCGGGGCTCCGTTCGATTTGCTTGCTCCAGGCCCACTCTTCATGGCAGCAAAGGCTTCTTCGAAATCATTCTCTTTCTGTGACTTAGAGCGCTGATGTGCTGGCCCGCCGAACAGTTCATCAAAGCTGAGATCTTTGCGCTCTGCAGACTTGTCATCTCCAGAAGGTGATACAGCGCCAACTGCAGGTGGTTCACTTGCGGCGATGGTTGGAATCTCGGGGAATCGCTCCTTTGATTCCTCGCTTTCATCAAACGGAGAGGTGGCGGGCTGTGCCGACGAAGGACCTGCCACTTCACTGGTTGCTGCCTGCGAGACTGTTCCTAGACTGGCCGTGTCCTGACCACCAAATCTGCTACCTGGGGGCGAGACCTTTGTTGAAGAAGTCGCCGAATGGGTCTCTCCAAGAGGCAACACACCCGGTGTCAGTTGCCTAGACTGAGCCGGGGCAGGAGGCTCCAACCCAGGACCAGGAGCGAATGGAGGTGGAGACACTGACGGAGTGGGCACCCCAGACGTGGGCTGAGATTCAGCCCGGAAAGACACTGGAGGCGGTGGTGTAGCGGTTGTCGGTGGTGAGGTGAAGGCGGAACCGAACAGGCTATCAAAGGCCCGCTGCTGATCGCCAGAAATCTGCGGAGATAGCGCATTGCCCTCGCTCGATCCAGTAGCCGTACGCTTGAAGAACGGGTTGGTGTTTTGACTCGTTGTCGACTCGGCTGGGCTCATAACAGGAGCGGCATCACTTGGACTGAGAACTCTCTCCTCCGACGCTTCAGGCTGCTCCTTGGACAAAGAATCGATCTCGAGCTGGATCTTGTCGCGCTCTCCCTCCACAGTTGCCAACTGCTTCTTATTGATCGCGACAAGACCCTTTTGTTGCCGGGCCTCTGAGCGAGCCTTATCGAGGGCAGGCTTGAGCTGAGCAACTGCAGCGTTGGCTTGTCGGATCTTCTCCTTCAAACTTACGTTCTCCTGCTGATCAGCGCTGAGTGCTGCTGATACCTGGTTATACTGGTTTTGTAAATCCTGACGGCTTCCTTCGATCAAGGCATACTCCTGCTGCAACTTGCCAGTTTCTGCCCGTGAAGCATTGAGCCGTTCCTCCAAAGCTTTGAAGTTCTTCACTTCTTGCTCGTACATCGAGCGGGCCTGAGCGAGACGAGCCTCAAAGTCTCTCTTCTGCTGCGAGGTTTGCGACAGATCCTGCTCGGCAGATGTTCGCTTCGTTTGGACGTTCTGCATCTCCGTAGCCAGCGAACCGATCTGATTAGACAGATTTGCAAGCTCGGTGGTTTCCTGAGTCAGTTTGTTTGACTCTTCAGGGTCGTTATCTCCCAAAAGATCATCCGCTGGGGGCGGCGGCGACCTAACGGGTGGCGGAGCACCAGCTGAAGCGCCAGTCATCTGTGGCTGCAGGGTCTGTCCAAAGGATGAAGTCGGCACAAACGGTTTGAAGGTAGTTGAGGGAGCCTGGGGAGAGGCTCTCGAGCCGGGGGAACCAGGAGTCTGGAAGGCGGCATTCGAACCGCCGGTTGACTGCGGAATTTGGGAAGGAGCTACCGGCGGTGCCGGTGCCGGCGCAGAAAGCGCATCTAGGCCAAACAGATCGTCAGCCGCCGAGTGTGGTGTGGGAACCGGCGCTGGAGCCGGAGCTGGAGCTGGCGCCTGGGCAGGAATAGGAGCTGCTGGGCTGAAATGCGAAGATCCAGGGCGGCGCATGCTCGGAGGGATCAAGGCGGGAGGCAATGTCTGAGGCAGCGCCTCCTTTCCACTACGCGTTAGGCGAACCAGATACATGGCGACGGCAAACTCATCCTTGGTCAACTGTCCGTCCGCATCAATATCTGCGAGATCCCAAATCTGAGCGAGTGTCTCCTCAGGCAACTGTGCACCCAGGAAGAAAGCGACAGCCTGGTCACCACTAATTGAACCTGCCTTGGCCGTATCAACCGTAGCAAAGATGTTGTCAAACATGACCTTCTCTTGCGGCGAGATAAGCCAGTCACCACCAGTAGCTTGGGCGGAGAGAGGAGATCCGAACGGTTGCCTATTGATCGGACTCTGCGTACGCTGGGGTCCAGTGAATTGCTTCGGAATCGCAGGCACCGGAGGAACCTCGAGACCTTGACGGGAACCGACCGACGAGCGGAGAGAGCCTCGGCGAGCGGCAGCATCATAGAGAGCGGGTGGAAGTGTCTGAGGAATTCCCCTCATCGCACCGGACTTGTAGGACGTAAGGAGGTGCATGGCAATGACAAATTCCGTAGCATCTAGAGCACCCTGTTGCCTTCTATCCGCCAGGTTCCAGATGCGACCAAGGATCTCGTTCGGTAACCGCGCACGCTCGAAGATCTGCTTAGCTGTCTCGCCTGTCATGATGATCTTGTTAGCGACTGTGTCCACGGTTTGTCGGCCTCGGGGCGCTGGCTGGAGGGGCATATGTATGTACCTGGCAGTACCCCACTTTTGGACACATCCGATTTCTCAAACAGCGATAGAAACTTGTTCACATCATCGGGGTTCAGCGGAGGGACCCGGATCGGCGCGTTTGCGCCCGGAGTAGGGCTGGTAGTGCCTGCTTCACGCGGATTCGGGGTGGCATCGACAACGATCCCTTCGAACTTGGGCAGGGGACCAGCTGCAACAGCGAACAATGTCAGCAAAGGTTGCGCTCTCATTCTTTGTTCTATCGAGGCCAGAACGAGCACCTAGCGTTCACTCACGTTGAAAGGCCAGTTCCTCTGTAGGTGCGCGACCCGCCTGAGCGTGTCCGATCAGCCGCATGACGACACCAAACCCAGAAGGGGTCAATAGACCCCGATTTTCCTTGTCTGCGATCTGCCATATCTATATCACGTCGCCATGGTCCAGTTAGCCGTCCGAATCCGCTTGCGATTGCGCGGGGGAAAGCTTTCCCCTAGAGTGGTAGGCAACGACATACCAATCCGAGGGTTTCCGGGGCCAACTGGGTCTTCTCGAAGAAAGGAACCGCGACCTCGCCGGTGATGACGCCGAGGTTGGTGGTATCGGCGGCCTGGAAGAGTTGATAGAAGACCCGTTTCTCCTCCGGAGTCAGGTTGAGATTGAGATTCCGAGCTATTTGGGGGGAGAAGAGAGCATCCGTCAGTTCCGTTGTTCGGTCGTCATCGTAATCGACGGGGTTGGGCCGTTGTCCCCTGAGAGCTCGGGCGGGCGACAATTGTGCAGCCAGGACACGAGGACTCACCGTTATCAGCCATAATTATAGCTCAGGAGGAGCTAGCCTCCCTTCCGTAGAAACGCTGTGCGCCAAATGATTGACCGAGAAATTTCGGAGGGGGGAGTGTTGAAGCAGAGCAGGAGAGACGGCTGTCAACCTTGAAGGTGGAAGACAGCACGGGGCATGGATGGCCAAGGCGGCAGCAGCAGCTCTTCTGAGGGGAACTTAGTAAATGGGGGGGAGAATGTCGCGAGGCAGGATTGCCAGAAGCCACAAAGAAGAGGGGGAATGGGAAGGTCCGACAGCTGAAGAATGAGGACAAGTCCGAGGGGGGAAGGGGAAAAAAAATAAAAAAGGAACAGTAACCCAGAAGTTAATAAAATTAGGGGAGAAGGGGGAGCAGGAGGAGTAAGTAGGAGGAGGGAGGAACTGGCGACCAGAGAGTAACTAAAGCGAGCCGAGCACCGCAGGCAGAGGGGCGGCCCAGCCAGAGACAGCTCCTACATTAATTAACTGCCACTGCCACTGCTACTGCTACTGCTATGCTCCCCCCCGGGCGGTCAGTCACTCACTCACTCAAGTACTACCGACGTCAGTCCAGTTCATTTCCCAGTCTCTCTCCACCCTCCAGGGTCCATGGTTTACTTACTCCCTGGAGGCTCACCCGGTCGGCACGAATCCGACTGATGTATGCACCTCGGCGGAAGCTGTTCCTCCTTTTCTGGATGTGGCGTAATTTAGAGTAAGATCTCATAGAGTTTACTTTCCCATCTCAAAAGCCGTCCCTCCTATTCTACTTCCATTCACTCTCCCTTTCGCCATGCAATACGAACCACGGGAGAGTACTAGTAACAGCCTCATATCCTCGCTCATCGTCAGTTTCTTCTCGTTTTACCACTACAGGGACGATCATCAATTCGCTCGAAACTTGCAAAATGTAGATTACAATTCTCTTAGGTGCCCAAAAATCCTGCACATGTGTTTCGAACGAGCGAGTAAATTTCAGCGCTGCTTCAAGGGATATTAGAAAATATACTCAGACAAAAAGAAAACATAGTCTGTACTACGGAGCCAAGCTTCTCCTTCCTATTTGCATGCAGCCAGAGTCCCGCTGCTCATTTGGGTATACAACCTTGGCCAACGCCTTGCCCCAACGGATCAATTCACATTGCTTCAGGGCCAGCCACGGCTTCCACCCGGACGGCCCGGCCAGACCCCCCGCGGGACTCCCGCCCAAAATTCGGTCAGATCTAGTACTCGGCCTCAACCTCCTCCTCCAGGGAATCGCTGGCAACCTCCTCGTAATCGCGCTCGAGGGCAGCCAGGTCCTCACGGGCCTCGGAGAATTCACCCTCCTCCATACCCTCACCAACGTACCAGTGGACGAAAGCACGCTTGGAGTACATGAGGTCGAACTTGTGGTCGAGAGCGGACCAGGCCTCGGAGATGGCGGTGGTGTTGGACAGCATGCAGCTAGAATTGGTTTTCCGTTAGCTTTTTTACTCCCTTGAAAAGAAGCATATCAGATGGAGAACTTACACAGCGCGCTTGAGGTTGGCAAGGTCGCCGTTGGGGACCTGCTGGGGAGGCTGGTAGCAGATACCGATCTTGAAACCAGTAGGGCACCAGTCGACGAACTGGATGGTGCGCTTGGTCTTGAGCGTGGCGACGGCAGCGTGGGTCTCCTTGGGGACGACATCACCACGGTACAGCAGGCAAGTGGCCATGTACTTGCCGTTGCGGGGATCACACTTAACCATCTGGTTGTTGGGCTCAAAGCAGCTCATGGTGATCTCGCTGACGGAGTTGGACTCGTGGGAAGCCTTGTCCGCGGAGATGACGGGGGCGTAGGCCACCAGAGGGAAGTGGATACGGGGGTAGGGGACCAAGTTGGTCTGGAACTCGTTGAGATCGACGTTGAGGGAACCGTCGAAACGGAGAGAAGCGGTGATGGAAGAGACAACCTGGGCAATCAGGCGGTTGAGGTTCTCGTAGCTGGGGCGTTCAATACCGAGGTTGCGGCGGCAGATGTCGTAGATGGCCTCGTTGTCAACCATGAAACTGCAGTCGGAGTGCTCAAGGGTAGTGTGGGTGGTGAGGATAGAGTTGTAGGGCTCAACAACGGAGGTGGCGTTCTGAGGAGCAGGGTAGACGCAGAATTCCAGCTTGGACTTCTTGCCGTAGTCAACGGACAGACGCTCCATCAGGAGAGCACCAAAACCGGAACCGGTACCACCACCGAAGGAGTGGAAGACCAGGAAACCCTGGAGACCGGCGCAGTTGTCGGCAACACGGCGGACCTTGTCGAGGACCTGGTCGATCATCTCCTTGCCGACGGTGTAGTGACCACGGGCATAGTTGTTCGAGGCATCCTCCTTGCCAGTGATCATGTTCTCGGGGTGGAAAAGACTGCGGTAGGTACCGGTGCGGACCTCATCGACAACATTGGGCTCAAGGTCGCAGTAGATGGTGCGAGGAACGTACTTGCCCTGACCTATACACCATAATTTGTTAGGGTGGGCTGCAGGCGAAAGGAAAGCAGGGTGCACTGGGTGGGGAGAGCTATGGAAACGTACCAGTCTCGGAGAAGAAGGTGCTGAAACCATGGTCGGGGTCATCCTTCTTGCGCTCCTCGGTCAAGTAACCATCGGCCTGGCATCAGCAAGCAAAGGTCAGTGGGATTGCTCATCGATGTGGAGTGGCAACGCTCGACAAAGGCGTGCCTAGGCGTTTGTTTTCACATACCTGGATACCGTGCTCAAGGCAGTAGAGCTGAACAACATCGTTAGTCCACTGTTTATCCCCATAATTCATGGCATATGCCCATGTTGTTGACTTCAGAATATTGTTTCAGGAAAGGAGGGGTCGATTTCCCCTGTTTAAACATACCTCCCAGCAGGAGTTGGCGATCTGGCAACCAGCCTGACCAACTGTGAGGGGGGAAACACAAACATTAGTGACCACGCGAAAAATCAAGTGGCGGCGAGGGAGGGATTGGGCACACACCGTTCAAAGAAATAACTTCTCTCATTTTGGCGAGTCGAATTGATAAGTTTCAGATAGTGATTGATGGAGGGACACGGAGTGGGCGTGGAATGTGGACAGAGGGAAAAATTAAAATACCCAAGGGCGATCTGTACGGGGGTTTCAGGGGTAAAGTTAGTAACCTAACGAGCCACCACAACAAAGGGCACGAAAGGGGGTTAATTGGAGATGGTGAATTGGATGAAGAGGGAGGGAAAGGAAGATTCAAGGGAAAGGGAACAGGTGGGAAATTAGTAAAAACGGGGGGGAGGGAGGGAGAGGCCACGAACCCTGGGGAACTGTTTGGTTAGTGACAATGGAGGAGCAGGACGAGAATCGGTCGACTCGATTTGTTGTGGTCTTTCATGCGCTGTCAACCCAACGATGCCGCCGTGGTTGATCCGTCCGTTGGGTCGCGTTGGGCTATGAGCCTTCTGATTGGATACTGCCCACCTGGCGGTCAACAGCTGAGTCAGCACCCTGTTCCGGTTAAGATCTGGTCACGTGGAGAGCAGTGACGGCATGACGAAAGATCGCCGAACATCAGCCGGATCATCGCAGTCCATGGATTGCTCACCACCATTACCATTGCAATTGCCATGTTTTCTTCTCTCAATTGATCCCTCGTCCTCGTCCTACACCTTCTGACTCTTTGACCTATACGGCCGTATTAAACACGAATATCTCTGAAATCAAACAGCAAGGATATTCCATCTTCCACCTTCCACCGCAGCTCCGATCTAGATCTCCAGTAAAGCTTCAGACAAGTACCTATCCCAATCCCACACTTCTCACACGATATCAAGTCCTCTAACGCAACACATCAGGTCCATTCCAGCTTCTGTCCCATTCTATCTCCAACAATGACCATATAAAACAATACTACACACCACGAAACACCCCCCTCATCGACCATAACCAACCAACAATGCCTCTCGCCCTTCCCCTCCTCCCCCGCCATGTCCCCTCCTCTATCCCTTACCTCCTCCTCGCTTTCCTCCTCTTCACGACCCTCGCAACCGCCAACGTCGAAAAGACCATCTTCCTCGCCCCTCCCCCTACCACAATTCCAACCCCGCATCCCCCAATCGACGACCTAGGTCTCGCGCGCCTCTCCCCCTCCCACCCCATCCTCCGCACACACCTCAACGCATCCTTCCCAACCCAGTCCTCACCAGGGACTGAATCTTGGTTCTTCCTCCAAAACCTCACGCCTGGTCGACGCTATGAAGTACGCATATGCTGGCTAGCAACTGTACGTGACCCTATCCCCACCGAACCCCAAACCCACCCATCTACCCTCATACCTAGTCTATACTAACTCTATGGAAAAAGCAACCAACATCCTTCACCCTAACAACATACACCCTCTCGCACGCCCTCTCAGACACCTTCCTCCTCTCCTCTATAACAAACTACTCCTCGCTGCGCCTCGCCAGCACTCCAAACTCCGAACTCAACCTCGACCTCGACGACACAACCACCACCAACTTCAACCCCGAAACCCCCCTCGACAGCAACGAGCCCATCACAGACTCCGTTCTGTTCCTACGTATCCGCGCCGCGGCGGACTACTATACCACGGATAAGGAGCTGATGACACATGTGCCGCCCGTGGCGGTGGATGTGATTCTGGATCCGTTTCTGGGGAATGTGTTTCCGAGGTCGTTGGTGCCGACGGCGTGCTATGGGGTGATAGTGGCTGTGGTGGCTGTTTTGGTTGGGAAGTGGGTGGTTGGGGAGTTGGGGAGAGTGGTAGATGATATGGCTGAGGAGAGGGAGAAGGAGGAAGGAGATGAGGATGTGGATGGGGATGGGGAGGTAGTAGTAGATGGGGTGAGAGAAGGGAAGAAGGTGCGGTGATTTATAAATCTTTCCTTGGACAGGTATATACATGCGTGCATGATTACTGTGGATGAGATTTGCATATTGGTATATTACTACTTTCGGCACTTGTATGATTACTGTTTACATATTATGATTTTACCAATATTTAGTGACGAATTAGTATGACATTCTTTCTTTCATCGAGACATCAATACATACATACAACATAGCTTCATTACACAGGCGCTGCGTCTATCTTTCCGTCTTTGTATGAAAGCACATTCAAAAACGAGAGGAAACACAGAACATAAGTAGCCCTAAAACATACAGTCATATCCATCGCTCCACGACCAAGACAACAAAAACAGTAGGGGGAATATCTAATGCGAACCATCCATCCCAAGCACACAGGCATGACACAACATAGAAAAACACATCCAAAAGCCACATAGATCTACCTGTAGTCAGATCACCATAACAAACACGCCATGATCTCATTCCAAGATTAGTAAATAGAGTAGAGAGGATATTTAATTTCGCAGGTAGATTGATCAATCTTCAAAGAAATGCAGCACCGCACGCATACCCTTACTGCCCAGGCCGTGCGGCGGATAAGCAATATAGAGCGGGTCGTCCTCGGCGCCAAGCTTAGCCCGGAACTCACTCTTGCGCACCAGATGGAACTGCTTGGCCATGGTGTCGTAGGTGTGCTGGAGCATCTTGATGCGCGCGCCGCGGAGGTTATGGCCGGGGGTCAGCGAGGACATGGCGCCGGCGCCGAATGTGAAGGACTTGACGCCAGCGGCGGCGGCTGTTTGAATAGCGTGGGTGACGATGTGTTCGATAACGCCGTTAGGGGAGCCCGGGAAGTCGAAGCTGTATTTGATCTGCATGCCGTGGACGGGGGCGAGCGTGGCCAGGGCGACAAAGGCGCAGATGGTGCCCTCCTTGTCGACGGCATAGAAGTACCAGCGGTGCTCGGGATCGCGCCAGGGGCGGATCTCGGACAAGTGTACCTGTGTGCCCTTGCGGTTGTTGAGCCAGTCCTGGACGCGCTGGTCGATCTTCTGGCGGACCTCGTCGGAGACCATCTCGCCTCTGTTCACGGTCACAATCTTGACGCCCTCGCTTTCGGCGTGTCGGATCTTGCGAGCAATTTCGCCGTCCGAAGCTGCCATGTTGCGGGCTGGGTTTACGCGCTCCTCGGCAATGCAGGACAGAGTTCGCCAGCCCATGCGCTCGCCCAGGATGGTCTCGACTTCGGCGGAACAGAGCAGCCAGACGGGCTTGTACTTTGTCTCGCGCCGCAACCACTGCAGGAACTGTGTGATCACTTGGCGGTACTGCTTGGGATCGCACAAGGGGTTGCCTGGAATGATCACGTAGTTGCTGCTGCTGGGCACGTAGGAGATAGCGGCACCCGTGCCCATGTCACGCCAGATCTTGAAGCGCTCATCGCCCCAGGAGGTGGAGGTAGCATCGCCGTAATTGGCAATGAGATGCTCGAGCGGCTGGAGTTGACTCGTATCCTGTGCGATGGCACCCTTCCTGTCGCGCGCCCACGGAGGATCAATAGTCGATGACTCTGGGTGCCGCAGTTGTGCCGCCACCGGCTTGGCCGGAAAGCTGCGGGGGTCGCGAGGGAAGAGAGATGCTAGGCGGATATTGCCCAGTTTCAGAAGCAGCATCAGCAGACGCTCCAGACCAACACCTGCTCCAGCGTGGGGTGGCGCACCCCAGCGGAAGCCCTCCATATAGTCTTCCATGGTATCGGGGTCAATGCCAGAGCGACGCATGTTCTCCTCGAGCATGTGGGGGTCGTGGATACGTTGGCCACCAGAGACGATCTCCTGACCGCGAATGAAGATGTCGAACGAGTTGGTGAATCGGTCATCCTCGGGGTCGGGCATGGTATAAAAGGGGCGTGCGCTGGCAGGGAATTTATCAAGGATGTAGTAGTCGGTGCCAAACTTCTCCTTGACCAACTCACCCAGACGAATCTCATCGCGAGTGTGGAGGTCCTCATCCTCTGGCAGCGGGTTGCCGTCCTCGTCGCGCCAGCCAGAGTCATTCAGCATCTTGATACCGTCCGAGAAGCGCAGGATGGGGGTCTTCTCCAGCCACACAACATCTTCTGACGGGAATTGGTGCTTCACAGTCTCCACCTCGCGGCGGTAACGACCATACACACCTTGAAGAATGGACTTGATCACGGCATCCAGCACTTCCAACATTTCATGGTAGTGCTCCTCGATGGCCATCTCGATATCCAACCCAGTATACTCAGTCAGATGGCGATGGGTATTGGAGTTCTCGGCTCGGAACACAGCGCCAATCTCGTATACACGGCCAAAATCGGCGGCGATAGCCATCTGCTTGGCTAGTTGTGGACTCTGCGCCAGGAAAGCATCTCGCCCGAAGTACTGCACGTGGAAGACACTGGCGCCTGACTCGGTCGCAGAGCCTTGCAGCTTGGGCGTGTGGATCTCCATGAAGCCTTGCTCATCGAGAGCGAATCGGAAGAGGTTGCAGATGGCGGATTGAATGCGGAAGATGGACTGAGAGGTCGGGGTGCGCAAGTCAAGTAGACGATTGGTGAGACGAACGCGATCGGGGATGTGACTGCGGCGGCCTTCGATGCGCTCCTCTTCGGCCGTTTGAATCTCTGCCTCATAGATACTAAATGGGACGGGCTCCTCGCGACGCACGACCTGGTGCAGCTCGTCGATGGAGATCTCGACGTCGTGAATGGTACAGCCCAAGATCGGCACCTGAGGCTTCTGGATTGTTCCCCGCACACGGACAATGGAACCCAAACGCAGATGCTCGGCCCAGTGAATCATGGCGATGGACTTGACGCCTGCCTCCTCATGCAGAACACCCTGGAAGGTGAACAGCTGCTGGCGGAACACGAGGAAGACCAGCTTGGCACTCATGCGACGGATGATATGTAGACGAGCTGTAAAACAGACCTGCTGGCCCACCAAGGACTCGGAGATGGCATCTAGATTGGTGCGGACCTCACGAGGGCGTGTCCGGGACTGTATCAGCGGCAATTCGCCATAGCGAGCCTTCATCTCCGAGGTCTCTTCGCGGGTGGCATTAGCGACTTCCTCCTTCCGACGCGAATCGGATTCGTCAGAATGACGCTCCTCGCTCAGACGGGACTTCTCTTTGCGCTGTTTACGTGCCAGGCGTTTCTGCTGATTCTTGCTGATGCTGCCAGGCGACGAAGAGTCATCTGAGCCGTCATCAGAGGAAGAGGCATAGTCGCGATCGCGCAGGAAGTTGCTGAGAATGCTGCGGCGGGGAGACATGGATGCAGCCGAGGCCGGGGTACTGTGACTCGACTCATCGTCGGGCGACGACTTGTTGGGTACAATCTTGGAGAGCGCACGTTTGATAGACATGATGGGAGCGGGAGGATGGGAGTCAACTCCCATGTGATGTGATAAATAGGATTGAATGGGTTAAAGATGAGGAAGAATGACCGTCAATGACGGGGGAGATGAGAGGAGGGGAGGAGGATGGAGGGGGAGAGAGAGAGAGGGTACCGTCAGCGCTTATAAGTAGAAGGAAAAGTTGGGTTGGGCCCAGGGTTTTCCAAGACAATTAAGGTTAGTAGGAGAGCTTAGCAGGGGCCTTACAAACCCAAGAGTTGGCCAGAATGTGAGAGAAGTAATCGAATTATTAACAGCATAAGCGTGCAAAGTAAAAGAAGAAATACGAGGGAGCAAATAAAGGCTGGCGGGTCGATCCCGAGGCAGTGATGTCATGCCTGTGATGATGCAAAACCCTGGATATCAATTAAAAAATACTATGTAATAAAAAGATTACTACAGAGTGGAAACAGGGTCCAGTTCAGGAATGAAGGACCGATGATGTGGTCCAAGACTCTTTTTTTTGCCAACTACTAGAGCTGTTCTCATTCCCAATTCTAATTTCCCTTCTTTTTCTTGTCAACTTCTTGCATGAACTGCATGACTACCTTTCTGTGTCATCCCAACCATCATCTCTTGGCTTCTTCTTACTTTGGATCTTCGTCTGCCTCGGCAGGTGCTTTCCGTGGATCAGACGTCCCTTAATCCCTCTGCAAACGTAAATTAATCGCCTTCCATTCCAATCAACTGATTACTATTCTTGAACGGAAGGTCAGGTCAGGTCTGTGTTGCCTCCGACCTTCCGGGCGCTCCCTCGGAAGTTAACCTCTTTGCATTCTCACACACTCTCTCCCTCTTCCCCATCTGTTCCTGCCTCGGATCTCTCGTAACCTTCTTTTCACAACTTACTTGCCTTTCTGGAACGCTTCTCTCCGCTATATGGCCATTTCACCATGCCGTCTTCCCGCTGGTGGCTCTATGTCCAAGCCATTGTCTGGCGCTTTCTAATGCGCATTGGCATGTTCCTGCACGATGTCACTCCTCCGCGACCTCCGCGGCCTGCCTTTGTTCGCACTATTCCCACCGATTCAGGTCAGATCCGTCTCTGCTTCTACACGCCACCCAACTACCCCATCACTCGCAAAGAAGGTCGTCGTCTGCCCGTCGTGGTCAATTTCCACGGAGGAGGCTTCACGCTAGGATGCCCCACGGATGACAGTCGCTGGGCGCAGTGTGTGCTCGGGGAAGTCGGTGCCGTGCTGGTCAGCGTCGGATACCGTCGTGCTCCCGAACATCCGTTTCCCGCCGCCGTTGACGACGGCGTCCTCGCCCTGCAGTATCTCGCTGCCCACGCCGTCGAGCTGGGCTTGGACGTCTCGCGCATCGCCCTGTCCGGCTTCTCCGCTGGTGGTAACCTCGCCATCACCGTACCCCTCCGCCTGCGCAGTATCCTCAGTGAGCAGCAACAACAGCAGCAACGCGACCAGCAAGACGCCCTCGAACCTCGCAGCAGTCCGCCCAACTTGGGTCCCTACGACTCCACCCAGCAACTAGTATCCGCCGCCTCCACCAGCGAACTCAACATCGTCGCCCTCTTCTGCTGGTACCCAATCCTCGACTTCGAAGAGTCGCGTGACCATCGTCGCGCCATGAGCCTCATGCCCAGTAAGACCCTCCCAGCCTTCTTCACCGACCTCTTCGATGAGTCCTACTTGCCTACGCGCGAGGAGCGGGTCTCGCCCTATGCGTCGCCCGTGCACGCTACGGATGAGATCCTCGCCGATGCCCTGCCGCACGATATCTTCTTCTTTATCTGCGAATGGGATATGCTTCTCAAGGAGGGCCAGGTGTTTGTGCGACGTCTGCAGAATATCAACAAACATGTCCGCGCCATGATGATCGAAAAGGCGCCCCATGCGTGGGATAAATCGCCCAATCCATTCCGCGATCAAGATTCAGTTGATATTCTCTACCGCGATGCCTGTGCTGATATGAAGCATATCTTTGGTGCGTAGACCCATCCTCTTACCTCAAAGGATGGGCGGTACATATAAATCATTGCGTTTTTTCTTTTTTCCCTTGACATCCTGGTCTGTATAAACTATCCTTTTTCCTTATACGTCCTATTATTATTATAACTCTTCGGAGTCATTGGCGTTACTTTGGGTTTTCGATCATCATTAGAATCGTTACATCATCCTTACTACACACACGCACATCTACATGTACACTAGACGACGATCATTGATTACTACCGAAGTTACTGTATGCATAAGCGTTTGACTTGCATCACCTTTTAAAGAAATAATTGGCGGGTAACAGCCAACGGTCTTTCCAACCAAACAGTCTCTACCAATAGTAGTACTTATCCTTCCTATCGTACCATGTGCATTACATAACACTTACTAGAAGCGCCTTCTCCATACTAAGTACTACTAGAAGTACTTGGTGTTGTAATTTCCAAATCATCCCGATACCATCATCTTCACATGTAGAAACGGGAAACTCCCTCCTCGTTCTCTTTTCCATAATGATCAGTAAATCATTTCAATGTGCCGAGGTAGATCAAGTAAGTTGAGCTGGATTTGGACATCCATGTGCATGGACTTCTATGTTGACACTCTTAGCTTAAACAGGTACTCGACCTAATAATCATTTTGATCGGTCGAAACATGTAATAACAACTACTTACTATCACTGGTCTTTGATGTTTACATGCGTTCAGGATATTCAATGAGTAATTTTGTTGATTGTTCATTCTCTTTCTACCCCGCAGATGTCATCATACATCCATCCATCCATCCATTCCATCCATCATCGTCCATCGTCCATCATTATAAAACCATCCCGGAGCCAGTCTCACTATAGCAGACCTGGCAACGTAGACAGACAGATAACAAGCAGGCATATGCGATGTATGCATGCATGTATAAATCAAATCAAATCAAATCAATCTCCGTACGCCGCGCTAAATTCCCACCCATAAAACAACAAAAACTAGATATCAAGAGAACTTTTCTTCTTTTCAGAGGAACATAAAAACCTGCTGAGATGGCATAATCGCAAACAGATTGGGGGTATTGTGCTCGCCAATAGAACGAGAGACAGATAGAGAGAGAGAGAGAAATAAAGAAGCACTTTTGAGTTGTTCTTTTGAAAGGTCTTGACGCATCACAGTTCGTCATCCGTTTCGGTCCCATCGCTGAGGTCTTCATCCGACTCGTTGTCATCCGCTTCGCTGTCCGAGTCGTCGTCTTCATCTAGACCTGGGATGCCGCGCCAGTGGACGTAGTCGTTCTCCACCCAGCGTCGGCTGCGCGGGAGTTGGTAGGGGTCAAAGGGGAAGTAGGCGTCTAGTTGGTAGCCGAGGTCGTCGCCGGCGCGAATCTCCCGTTCGACTTGGCTGAAGCGCGGATCGGCCATGGCGCCGATGCTGCGGTATGAGGACACGCGCAGTCGCTTGTTTGTCTCCAGGATGCTGAACACGTACATCAGGTTGAAGTGCTGCGACATCCGCGCGAACTGGGACACGATCGCGGGCGAGCACACCTTCAGCGGGTTCAGCTTGGAGTGGATGGCCTGGTGCAGCACTTCCTTGACGGACGGCGGGAACATAATGTCCTCCGGTTCAAGCTCGTCGACTTGGTCAGGAGTGTCGCCTTCCAGCGCAGCCGTGGTCAGGTCTCGCCAGCGGAAGCAGAAGATGTAGAGCAGGGCCTGAGCCGTGGAGTAGAAGGGGCCATAGCGGCGAAGGTCGGGGCCCCGGCAGGTGGCTTCATAATCAAGACGGAGGCTGTTCAGATACGTTCCCAGCAGATCGAACACATCCCGGACAACCTCGCCAGAGATATGAGCTCCGCGAGCAACGAAGCTGGCGAGATAAGCAGCAGCTGATTGACGCATAATGGCTGGCTGCGTCTTGTTGAAGATGAGTTCGGTGCACATCGCAGCAAAGCGGTCCACAAGGATGGGAGATGACTGGGAGAAGTGGAAGAGGAGGAATTGGGAGTGGCGCGAGCGGTATGTGGGGAGAATAATGTTCTGGAAATGGCTCATCAGAAGATCGAAGGCATTCTCCTTGTCGTCCAGGGAGCCTAGCGTGAACGGAGGTGCGTAGTATTCAAACATGGTGTCGATCATGCCATCCAGCTTGAGGATGTTGTCCCGAATGGCCTTGATTCGCTTGGATTCATCGTCTACCGAATCGTCGCTAAGGACGGAGTCGTTGTCATCGTCGTCTTCCGAATCATCTTCCTCGATCATGACTGATTCCGGAGAGACTCCCTGCAGGACATCCTCACCGACTTCATCCTCGATGTCCTCCAGGTCCACCTGAATGTGAACATCAATCTTGACAAGCTTTTCCGTAATCAGGGAAAGGATATCGCCCTGAAGCTCCGGGGCATAGCTGATCACTCGGATGAGGTTCCGCGTATACGCAATGTTGGCCTTGGCCGAATCGGAAGCAAAAGGAAATTGGGCAGACAGAAGAGGCGACAGCGTTCCACTACCAGACGGAATCAACTGCATAACATGGCGCAAAGCCAAGTGCACGCGGGAGTAAAGCACCGGAACATGCACAGACGGGTAACCAGGGATTTTCCCCGTGTCCTTGGGAAGCTCTCCCAGAAAGTTGACCAGCATTTTGAGCACAGCCCCCAGATAGCTGCCCTGGGCAGCGGCAAGGTTACCGAGAAAGCGTATATACAACTTGATGTACGACTCGTCCCGGCCCAGCCATACACTATTCAGCACAGCTTGGACCAGTCCGTTGCAACTGCGATCCAAGGACGCAACATTTGACAAAAGACCCAGGAGATGATGTCTCAAGGACGTATGTGTAGGTACATCGTAGGCAAACATGTTGTCCTCATCCCGGCGCCGCGGGTCCACCGCAAAAGTCTCCTTGATGCGGTCGTACGCCTCGCTGTCAGTGCCAGAGACATGCCGTTGGATGGCCCTGCGCACCTCCTCGCGGACGACGGCTGCGCTCTTCTCTGGCTTCCGTTCCGGCTCAGGTTCCTCTTTATATGGCACCATTAAAACCTCCTTATCAAACTTCACTCGCGTCCGCTTCCGAGGACTCGGGCTGGTTTCCGCGTCGGACGAGGACGACGGGGACAGGGAGAGATCGCTGTAGTCGTCCCCCATCATCATCCTGTGCTTAATCCCAGTCGTGGATGGGGTGCTCTTAGGCGTTTTTAGAATGGACACAGGTGATGATGTAACTAGCATCTTGGATGAATTGGTCGTCGGCCTGGGTGCGATCGTTGCGGTGCGGGAGGCGGTGGCAAGGACGACCATGCCAGGATCGACGGTTCTATAATAATGAAATGGCTGGGGAGTGCTTGAAACAGGACCCCAGATCCAATCATGAGTTGCACTCTCACAGTATCACACGCGAGGAGTGGGATATTAAGAGATGGGAACAGATCTTGTAAGCAGAGCACACGACCCGACCAGTTGCAAGTCGAGAGATGATCCACCTGCTGTTGCTACAGATAACAAGCGCGCTTGGGAGTAAGGAAGGCGAAAGATACCTTCATCGGACTGTCCAGCACACGCACCCTGAAAACACTGCGATGCACGAGTGTGTGGGAGGGAGACAGACCAGCAGTTGAAGGGGAGCCCGTCTGGAGTAAGAACTAGGAAGAAAGCAGACGAAGCGGAGAAGCAGAAACTCGACAGTGAAATTTTTTGGGTGTGGGGCGGATGTGGAGCCTCAGGCTGCCAGCTCGTGACCAGCGCGTGACCAGCGCGCAACAGCCTTACCCGATCGGGTTATACATTTCCTCGAAGTCCACCAGGTGGATCAAGAAAAAGAGATACTGTACGCAAATGTATGCACATGCATGAGATGCAGAACTTTCTGATGTATCGTTCCATTGTTACAAGATAAATCCAATAAAAAGCAATTCTGGCAAGTGTCTTTCGCATTCAAAACGACGCTAAGGAAGAAGTATACAGATCCGAGAACCTCGTTAGACATGTCAGTCCGTCACATAGCCAGTCAGCAAAGCGAATAATTCGATCCACGCAACATGGAACCACCATTCTGCAACCAGTAAAAAGAAAGAAAAAAAAAAGCAAATCTGGGGATGATAGATCAAGCTCCTCCCAGTGGTATCTAGCTAATTCAAAAAGGATGAAACCGACTAATTAGATCACAAGACATTAAAGAGTGAATATGAGTGGGTCATGGCACAAGTCAATCCTGGCGAGGGAAGGGAATATCCAGTTCCTATCCAGAGCCCTCCAGGCGGAATCCCTCGGAAGTCAAAAAAAGTAAAGAAAAGATGGTAGAGAAAGTAAAACAGCGAACAGGGTCATGATTCAAAGCCATGCCCCCGTACCTATCGGACCAAGATAATCATCAAAGACGCTGCCATAAAGGGCCTCGATCTCCACGAGATAGTCATCTGCGGTGAACTTCATTAATCCCTTGTCTCGTAGAATCAGCTCCTCATCGTCGAGTATACGGGTGCCACCGAACTCCTCAACCACCTCATTCACTTGCTCGAGTTCCTTGCTAAATGGATGGGGCTCGGCCTTGTAGCTATCCTGTGTCTGACGTGCAGCAGATGCATTGCGCAACGAGTTCAAAGGAGGTGGGGATAGCCGAGACAAGGAACGCTGGCGAGCAAGCTCTTGGTGGGTCCGCTTGGTGTGGGAGAGCGCCCGTTTGGGAACCAGTGGCGCATCCGTAGAGGAGTTGGTCGATGTCGAGGAGCGAGGGTGGCTCGTGATGGTGGCAGATCGCTTCGGGAAATAGGAAGGCAATGGGTTTGGCTCGATGGGCGACTCATCGGGTGTAGTCAGTGGCGACCCAAAACTGCGTTGTGTGAAAGACATTTCCGAATCGTCGGGCGACTGCAATGACGAGGTAGAAGACGAAGTTGCCGAATGGATGTCGGGCGCATTGTAAGCCAGCATGTTCGTCGTCGACAACAACTCCACGGGAGCCGAGATCTTGTCTCGATTGATCGGACCAGCGTGCTTATGTGGTTCCCGGTATGGCATCGGTGCCGAGACCTCGGGGCGCTTGCTGCGCTTGGTGAACGCTCTAGCCAAAGCCATGGTGACGATATTCGGGAAATTAAGGTGTAGTCGAGAACGCAATTGACGATAAGTGCTGGGAGGTGCAGACTAGGCGGTCGGGCTCAGATATAATGGCAGATATGCAGCTGGCCGGGAAAGGTCGATAGTTGTACAAGCAATATTGCTTTTTGCTATTTTAGGGTTTTCCGTAACCGTCTCCTCGTTCGCGAGAGACTGACTCCTTTGGCGGTATAAGGAAAGAATGCTGATGGCCGATCGCGGGGTGGAGTAAGAGAAGGAATGGAAGATCGATCACCGGAATGTCCGTTATCAGATACAGTGGATGAGCTGTCAAACAAGAACCAAGTTGTCGCAGCGGAGAGGAAATCCGTGTCTAAATGAAGGCAGAACTTCCTCTAATTTCTTCTTTCTCTTCTTTCTTTAATTCCTGTTTTTTTGCTTTTTTCCTTGCACAGCAGAGAAAAATAATAAATAGGGCGGATGGAATGAGTGGTGGTGCTCGGGAAATGGAAGGTGGGCTGCTAGACTCAAGGGGGCGAAGAGATACTGCAGCAGCACGGTAGCACCACGGATAAATGGGACAGGGAAGATCGGGGCGGACAACCAGGACGCGCCACGGGCGAGATGTGAATAGAATAAAATAAGGGTTGGGAAGAAATAAAAGTATGAAGGAAAGAATCCAGGATACACAGATCTGGGACTGGAAGAATGGAAAAAAGGATCAAAAAGGAATGGTGCAGGAAATAAATCGGAGTCCCCCAGGGAGGAATGGGGAAGGGAAAGTAAAGGTCAGAAGAAGAGAGGAGGAGAGAGAGAAAAGGGAAGGGAAGGAAAAAGGGAAGAGGGGGGGAAAAGAGGCGAGTGAGTGAGTGAGTGGATGAAATGATGGATGAGGTGGATGGAACCACTCTCCCGCCGTGATTCTGGGCCTTGTCTTTACCCCCTCTTTTTCTCTACTTTACTCTTTTCTCAGGCTTCCTCTCAGGTCTCTTTCTCTCTTTCCAGTCCCCTGAGTGGGTACTAAAATTCAAGATGATGAATTTAAGCACGCAGAAAAGGGCTAATAGCAAGCCCTGATTCGACTGCTCTCTTTTCTCAGCGACCCAGTCAATAACCCTTGGATCGGATCCTTGAGTCGCGACTCGTTCGCCAGGGTCTTTAGCCGACCAACTGGAAGAGTGGGATAGAGTTATGAAAGTGGGAAAACTTTGCCTTCGGTATTTTCTCCAACGGTTCGCCTGGCGCCTTGTAATGATGCGGGCGATGGTCGAGAACCACCTGTTCGCCAACAGTCAACCATGGATACGCATTCTACGGGGCTACGCAGCAAAGAAACAAGCGAAACAGCCAGCATAATAATAACAACGAACTACGGAGTCCTGATGCTTCCTCTCCTCTCCTCCCACATCTTTTTTTTTTCTCCGCTGCTCCGACGGAGACAAGCAGGGCAGTCAGGCGCGGCTAGTCGTGCGATTCGATTCGATGGTCGGACGGACAGGACAGCCTTGACCATCGTCCCCCGGTCATTTGCTTTTGTCGGGTGGCCACCAACAAAAACAATAAAGGAAATTCAGGGACCGACCCAAAGCTTCATCCCGGCGCGTGTTTGGCGTATTGGAATTCAGGAGGTTAAAAATCTAAAATTCCACCCCCCCCCCCCTCCCTCCTACATAGTACTCAACGTACCTTGAAGAAAGAGAAAGAGAGCCCTTGATAGGGCGGGACTCTCCCGAGTATCCCCTCCAGATATCTACTCCGTAGATAGTATAGACCGTCTAGTCTAGATTAAAAGCCGACCGAGCTCAAAAAACGATAGGAAAAATGATACACAGACTAAACCCAAGTGGGCGTCGTCAAACGGCAGCACCACCGAGGCTACACCAACTAAGGCCAAGTGGTGTCGGCTTAACGCCAGGAACGGCATCGCGGCTGGCCATTGGAAACCGCCATGTGCCCTGAGCGGTGGGGAATTGAAACAATCTGCCGTCCCAGCTGAAGGGGAAGGAGGGAAGTTGCATGCAACTAAACAAGCTGGACATGACGTCGAAAGGAAGGGGGGGAGTAGTGTGAGTGGTCCTCCTACATACATCGCGTCCGTCCTTGAAAGACAGGCTTAATCTCCTACCTACATACTTGGACCCTCTCTAATGTAGGTACCGTGCCTGTCGGATAGAATCCGCGATCCGTTCCATGAGGGTTCTTTTCTGAACAATGGGGTTGTACGTACCACCACACTAAACTAAAAACTAAGACCAGACGGAGATGCCGGGCGGGTCAAACCACTGAGTGCCTCTTTTTTCTTTTTCGTTTTGTTTCCCCACCTGTGGGTCAACTTAATAAACTGGGCGGTGGTTTTCACCCGCTTATACACTTGTACACTTGACCTGTGCTTTTCGCCTCGATGTCCTTTTGTGAGGAGTATACTATACTTTCTTGGTATGCTGTGCGATGAGCTTCTGCTTTTTAATAAACATTATTAGACTCATTAGTCTCTACTACTATTTAATAAAAGTAAAGTGACCATCTACATAATAGTATGTAAGCACCTTACTCCGTACCGCACGCCAATACCTAACTAGACCCCCGGACCCCATTGCCACCAAGTTACTACTTCTCGGATGAAGTTTCCACGACGACTCACCCCAGCAACAAATGTACGATGCAGATTAGAATTCTTCATCACGACCATCCTCATCTACTGACTACCACATCTCCATCTACTTTAGGCCTTGCAGACGAGATGCTTGCTCTAAATGAAAAATGCAATCACCGGACCCGTCCACTCGCCTCATCGTGAGCATGTGATTGGTGTTCGAGACCGTATCAGACGATATCTGGTTTGGGTATTCTGCCGGTCGATCAATTTCATTCATTCAATTCATCAATCACTTTCATCGCTTCCAGCTTATTCATCGACTTTCATTCCGTCCGCTCTCGTCAACCACATCTAAATTAACTGACTGGCTGACTGACTGACTAGTCAGGTGAAATGTTATTGGGGTATCACAACGTTTTCATTGCAAAAGATGTACTCTCAAAATATCTATCTATAAGTAGTAGAACTCCCGTAGATCCATTCTTTTTACTTCCATTCTTTTTTCAACTGCGGTCATCCAGCCTGAAGGCGTCCGGCTTTAAGCTTCCTTCTCATTTGCATCTATTCAATCCTCATCCATCGACTCCCAGCCATCCGCACCTTGCGCCGCTCCAACCTCCTGCACGCCTTCCTCCTCATCCGACTCATCCTGATCGGGCTGAATACCGACCAGACGTTCCTGCACCTCTCCCTCCAGGGAAGGCATCCGCGAGACGAAAGCACGACGCACCGCCGCGTTGGTGGAGGTGTCCCAGATCTGGACCACGCCCTTGCTGCCCGCCACAGCCAGGCGGAAGCTCACATCAGCATCCGGCGCGAAAGTGGTCGAGAAGATCTTGCCCACTTCCAACTTGCGAGACACCACCATGCTGGGCTTGTCGTTCTCAACGTTCCAGAGCTTCACGGACTTGTCCGTTGATCCGGTCACCAGGTAGCCCGGCACGGTCGGGTTGACATCGAACGACGACACCGACGAGTCGTGTGCCTGCAGCGTCCACACGGGCTTGGACTCCTTGGGCGAGGCGGGGATGTTGCGCACATCGTAGCGGTACACCATACCGGCATCCGTCGTCACGTAGAAGTAGTTCGGGTCGTGCTTGTCCCAGCGCACGTTCTCGACATCGGCATCCACGCCCCAGCGGGCCTTGGAGTCGGGGGCTCTCATATCCGCTGCAACCACGGTGCGGTCGTAACTACCGCTCAGCAGGACGGTAGACTCGGTCGGGTGCCACTCCAACGCGCACACCTTGTCGGTGTGGTGGGAGTAGGACTTGGCGCACTTGGTGGTCTGGAGATCCCAGAGCTTCACGGTGCGATCGGCAGATCCAGAGGCCAGGAGGTTGCGGTGCTGGCGGTTCGCAGCCAGAGCGAGGATCGAGTCGATGTGGTATTCGTCGTTGGCCTTGGCCTTCTTCTTCTTGGACTTCTTCGCGCCGTTCTCGGCATCGGCACCGCCCTGTCCCAGGATCGCGTTGGGGTACATGCTGTCGACAACATCGAGATCCCAGATCTCAATGTCAGGCTCCATTGTTCCGATAGCCACGAAGTTGCCGGTAGTGCGGCCCTCAGCCGTCTTACCAACGGGGATGTCCAACCACTCCAACGCCAACGGAATAGCGGGAAGCATGATATCGTGGTGAACGTAGAGGTTATCGGCGGCATCCTCGTAGACGTAGACCTCCAAGTGAGCAACCTCGTCCTCAACCTTACCCGCCAACAGCAGGTTATCCGTCGGCATAATCTGCAATTCCTCTCTCTCCTCGTCCTCCTCCTCCGGCGGCATAACCAGGTACGGGTCCTCCTCGTTGGGTTGGTGATAGGCGAGCGACTTGACATTGCCGAACATGGTAATCTTTTCGCCGTCCTCGTCGACCTCGTCGCTGTCGTAGTGATCCAGATCGTATTCCTTCAGGTCATCGTCGTCACTTTCATCATCAAATGTTAGCATTCGTCCCTGTCCATCACTCCGTAACGCAAATCCAATCCAACGGTATATATGAGACAGGAAAACTCACTCCGCAGCACCATCCTTCTTCTCAACCTTCTCCTCCTCCTTAGAGTCATCCTCCATAGCATCATCCGCACCCTCCTTCTTATCCTCCTCCATCTCCTCATCCTCCTGCGCAGCCTTCAAATCACCCTGCGCCTCTTCAAGCTGCATGCGCGCAAGCTTCGATATACGATCCATTTCCTCCTCATTGATCTCATATTTCGTAGGAAACTGGGCAGCGACTCCGCGCCGCACCCAAGCGGAAGTAGTAATCATAGACATCGTGAGAAGCAATCAATCGTGAATAGAAAAGAAAAGAAAAAAAAGAAGAATGATTGTGGAGAGATCCTGCCGTAGGCGATTTGCTCAACCTATACAGGTGCAAACTCGGACAAGAATATAAGACACAAAAAGAGGAAACCACAAATTCCTCACAATGGTCCAAATAGAAAATAATGCCAACAGAAGAAATTCCCCGTCGACAAGCAATTAGTTGAAACTAAAGAAAAAACGAATAATTTTTTTTTCTCTTTCCCCCGCCCGGCAGAATAATACCCGATAAGTCGTTCACCGCCCGGCTTTTACGGAAAGAAATCGATCTTCCATTTCCATATATGGATCATTAATGCAGTTAGGACCGATTGACATATAGAACTTCAATTGAGATCTCCATACATCCCACTCAGCAGACGGATACCGTTAAAACAACAGTCAAGATGCATTCCCACCTCCACACCCCATACAACGCAAGTACGTTACAACCTCCCCATCTCTCCATCACCGACATCAGATCACATCATACCACACCATACCACACCAAGCACCGAACTAACTCTCTCCCCCAACAGACTGCGAAGAAATCATGACCGCCCTGGACGAATGCCACGCCCGAGGCTTCATCCACAAAGCCCTGGGTGGATGCAACGATGTCAAGCGCGACGTGAACAAATGTCTAGCGGCGGAGCGGTATGCTCGCGCAAAGCGCAACCGGGATGAGGCGAAGGAGAAGCGCAAGAAGATTGAGCGTATTTGGGCTGAGGAGAAGGCGCTTGCGGAGACGGGGTCGATTTCTTCGTTGGCTTCTGCTTCTTCGGGTTCGAGCTCGGCGGAGAAATAAATCTGTCACTTTGCGCTTGGTTGATGGGATAGGGTGGGGTGCTGGTAGTGGTACTGGTGGTGTGTATGATATGATTGATGTATGTGTCTGATGGGCTGGCTGGGTGCATGTGGTTTGCTTATTTTGATTGGCGTTTGGGATTATATTATACTATATCATATCATTCTCTCTTCTTATGCTGCTACTGCTTCTTCGGTGTATGTTTATGTTGTGCTGGGATGGGTATGTTGGATGTTGGAATCGTCTATCAATATCGATGATAACTACCTATACACAATTCATATGGACACTTTTTTATTTCGTCCGCCGAACGCCGTACCATGAAGTCAAGTTAAAAGAAAAGTAGCACCTTAGCAAAGCAATCAATCATCCATGGCATCAGCCGGCGCACCAGCAGCAGCAACAGCTTCCGCACCACCTTCACCATCACCCTCCATCTTCCCAGCACCGCCCTTATGATGACGACGTCTGCGCTTCGCCTTCGGCGCAGCATCACCATCCTCACCGTCCCTCTCCTCCGCAGTAGGTCTCTCTTCCGCCTCTCTCTTCGGCTTCTCCGTCTTCCCGGCAGTGGTACCCTCGGGCGCCCTCTTCTTCGGCTTCTTCACACTCAACGGATTCGGGCCCTTGGGCTTCTTCAAATCCCTCTTCTTCTTCGTCTTCTCCCCGTCCGCAGCTGTCGTCGTCTTCTTCTTCGCCTCATCATTCAACCCAACCCTAAACTTCCCCTTCTCCACACCCTCCCTAATCGCATCCGACGGATCACTCATCGGCTCCAACACGATCACCGACCGCTTCACATACACAATCGGCACACCCGGAATCGACCGAGCCTGACGCCGCAGCAACCTCGACTTCCGCAACGCCGCCTCAGCCTTATCCTCTGCGTCGCGCTTGCGTTTCCGTCCAGCGGACGTGTTGTCCGTCGCGGACTTGTCCTTGGCGTTGTGCGGGTCCGCTGTCGCGAGGATGTAATGTTCCTTGTTCTTTTTGCTCTCGGCGGACGGGGAGAGGAGGGAGAGCAGGCACTCGACTTCGTCGATGGGGGTCGAGTCGGCGTTGTGGGAGCAGTGGCGGAGAGGGAGAGTGGTGGGTGGGGGGAGGTGGTCGGGGCGGTAGGGGTTGTTGGTCTTAGGGTTGATGGGTTGAGAGGCCATTATTGCGGCGAGAGAGCATTTTGTGAGTACTATTTCATTGCGTTAGATCATTCATTGTAGTTATGGTTGATATCCGGGGCAACATACGAGGCTTGGGTTTGCCTTGAAGAGTGCGCTCCAGAGCGGGAATCAGGTCCATTTTGAAAGAGTGAACGGCGCGGAGGAAATTGGAGTCGACTGTCACATTTTCTAGTCAGTATACTCTTATCCTTGACATGATAGTATCAATGGATGGATAAATGGATGTCTGCATACCCAGAACCTGATACGGCTCACGGAACCCGAACGTAAGCTCATACTGGTGCATGAGCTTGCGGTACTTCTTGGATCGCTTGGCCCTCATCTTGACTGTCTGGTCGTCTGAGGTGCGTTAATATGTAGTATGTATAACCTGTGATGGGATTTGGGGTTGGTGCAATTGGACTTTTTTTTCTTTGCGTCGGCGGTCACTTTTTTTTGCCGGGCGGAGGAGAGAGCTCGGGATGTTGGTCTGTGCGTGGGCTGGCTAAGCGGCCGTTGATGGAGTCAATTATGGGGCCATCTTTCATTCAAATCGCCTCTATGGCTCAGTGGTAGAGCGCATCACTAGTAATGATGAGGTCCGCGGTTCGATCCCGCGTGGAGGCAATTTCTTTTTCTCTTTTGTTTTTGTTTCATTTCGTGATTGGGGGGGGGATTGTGTAGTTGTATGTGTGGTAGTGTGTATGGCTGAAAAAAAAAATGGGTTGGCCATGTACTGATTTAGGGTGTAGGAGGATGGTACGTGTTTACTTTTTGCCCAATAAGTAAAGTTTGATAGATTGGCAGAATATGTCACGGGTATTTATGCAATGATAATAAGCAATAGTCTATGTCGCTGTGCCAGTAGATTATATATAGCCCGAAACGTCAAATGTCCCACAAACGCCATTACCTCCCCTTTGAACCGGTCCTGAAAGGGCCCCAGATCCCAACATGCAACATATACACCACCCATGCCATGCACATATAGTGCGTATGCAATGTAATCAAGCGATTGTCCGATGGCCGAGCCGAAGTTGATTCGGACATCTGCTATCTTGCCGATCGCCCTCTGTCACAAACCTCCAGACGTAGGTTTGTGCGGAAGTCAAAGTATGAAACGCTGTGCAAGTCAACTCCGTGCTGACATGAGATGTGTAAGCCCTGCTTCACCCCCTAACCCACTGCCTGCGTGCAGAGAACCGGTAGATAGGTCGATTACGTCCTCCTCCTGCAAGAGCCGATTACCACACTGATATCGTCCATTTTCCCTGTATCAAGATTAGTTTACCTCACTGAAACAGTATGCGAAGACACTCACCACCCTGCACGGCCAGTCCTTCATCCACCGCCTTCTCCATGTACGGACTCTCCGCAAAGGGATCCTGGGCAATCTCCAGAGCAGACTTGAGCAGCTCCCTCGCTATAAACACCATCTGCTCGTCCGCCATCACAGCCGGAGGTGCCCACTCCGAGTCCTTGTCTTCATGACGTCCTTGCTGCCACTTTTCCAGACTATCCAGGATGATCGTCAGGATCTCATGCTCCCACAGATTGTCCACGATACCATCTGACACGGCCACCACAAGGTCATCCTCCTGCACATCAATCAAGGAAAGGACTGCATCCTTCTGGGGAGTATCGACGCTGTTGGTGCCCAGCTGCATAGGACAGTCGAACCAATGCCATTGTTCCTTGGTCCGAAAGACGATCCTCTTCTCGCTAGGCCGGACGACAAAGATCTTGCAGTCACCTATATTAGTCACGTAGAGCAAGGGCCGTATGTTTCCCGTAGCATCGCGCTTCCAGTGCAGTATTGCTGTGACGGATGTAGTTGTTCCCAGCCATTCACCTGGGGAGGTCGTTGCTCGAATGGTTTCCTCGTATGCGCGTTGGAGATAGCCGATAGGATCTAACTCGGACTGGCCATTGGGTTCTCGTTCAAGTTCCAGGGCCCAGTAATGGAGGAGCAGTCTAGACCAAAGCCTATATCAACCAGGAAGGGCAAGTCAGCACACGGGAAGGGTATGAGACGGGATCCAGTTGGGGTCAGTAGGGGTAGGGGTCCGCGGAGACTAGTACAGAGGGACAGAACAACGTACGCAGCATGACCTCTCGGCTTGGTTGCCCACGCCCCGACCCCATCGTTCACGGCGAGGTAATTCTCCGCCACTAAAACAGCATCGTCGCCGTTGTTCAGGCCGCGGACCAGATCCCCCCGGACGGATAATCTCTTATCCTGACTCAGGTAGTGGGTGGTCAGCGGGTCGGAAAAGGAGGAAGAGGGCGGAGACAGGAACGGTGGGGGGAAGGGACGCGAGGGCCGTTTGGCGCAGAGCGCATAGCCTGTCTGGAAGCAGAAAGGCGAGCGGGAGATGGGGAACTGTGGATTAGGATCCGGGATTGGGGTGGTGATGCCGTAGGAAGGCCAGACGGCGCGATATCGTCGCACCCAGATGCTGGGGGCCCCGGAATGAGCGCTCCACAGTGGGCTGCGTCTAATTACTACCGGCGAAGCGAGAGGAGAGGAGAAGAATGATAAACAATTTGTCGAACTAACAACAAGAGTCTTGGGCACCATGCCCGCTAAAAGTTTCCCAGAGATTGCTGTGCCGGGCGGGAATCCCAGACAAGCGTAGATACAGACAGACTCTTTTTTCTCGGGAAGCTGGATTTTGGCCAGAGCCAAATGAAAATCTTGACCGACTTGCGAACCACGGCCAACTTTCTGACCAACTTTGCCCCATCCCCGGTCACCTGCGCCCCACCTGACTTTGGGTTTGTTCCGGTTGAGAGTATCTACAAAAGTTGTTGAGAAATGACAGGAGAAGCTTGAGCTTAAGCTTGAGCTTGAATTTGAATCATGAGCTAGGTATCTTAGAAAATTATTATCTCTCCCATCATACATTCCATTCACTACCACCCCATCTCCCCTTCTCTTCTCTTCCCCATACAAATTGACATCACCCCCACACACCGACGCAACCATACTGGCAGGTAACACGAGCTAGTATCGGCTTGCAGATGGCCCATATTTATCATCCCCCTTTACTTTTTATACCACGAGGTTGCATGTTCAATTTCTTTTTAAAATTCATACGGACCATTCCCTCTCCTATGTAAACCATGTATAGATGTATCTACCTCATCGATGAACCATTCACTGATCGGACATGATGCTCACTTTCCTTCGGAATCACTCACATTTCCCAACACTTTTCGTTGCACAGATACGAGATCTCCGGAAATATGATGATCGTCAGGCATGTCTACTCAGAGGGGAAAAGACCAAGGAAAATCAACGTAATCTCAGCAAAGAAAGAAAAAGCAATTACACCCCTCACTCCATGAACGCCTCAACGCACTCATCATGCCACCCAACGCCAGTAAAAACCAGACCAGCTACTCAATTGCAGCCTTAGGGTTCAAATGATGCCGGCAAACAATTCTTTCTGCATCTCTTCGCCGAAGATCCTAACAGCCCGGTTCAGGGCCAATCCGATCACAAAGACGTCAACATCTTCCCGGATGGAAGAAAGCTCTTGGAACACGGCCTTCGAAAGAACCGTGCACCGGTCGCGAATCCCAAGAGTCCCACGGTTTGCGTTAACCTGACTCAGTAACAGGATCATATTCCACTCCGCGCAGGGGCAGAGACGGTCCGGATCCTGGGTACAATCCTGGCCGCAATTGCAGGCCGATTGGCACACACACTTTCTCCGTTTGGCGTATTCGATCAGCTGTTGCATGGTGCCCTGATTTCGGAGAACACCCACAGTCATGCCTTCAAGCATGGCTAGCGCGGCCTGCCGGTGATCCGAAGTACGTGCCCTTTCCGTGAATGCTGGGTCGACATTGTGCCGCTGAATGAAGGGAAGGGGCTGCTGGGGGATCATAAACTGATAAGTGTTCCTCGGTGTGAAGGACATGTATCTCTCAGAATGAACGATGAGGACCTTGGGCGGTGGCATATGGTAGATCAGGCCACTCCCAGCCCACTTCTGGCGAAATGAAGAATCCGGGTTGTCGATAATCCCAAGGGTAAATCTCCGATATCCGATGAGATCGTCCAAGGCGAACGGCATGCTGTTGACCTTTGTCACAGCGCGGTGGACTAAAGTAGCCTGATAATTCCGAACAGATTCTTTGTTAAAGATCTTGCAGACAGTCGGGCTGTCGAGGATCTGCTTGCAGGTCAAGAATATGTTGTACAAGTGGCGTGGCTCAGGGAGCATGAAGTTGTTATGCGAAGAAACGCGTGTTACCTCGATACTGAAGCAAGAGCATAGGTCGACCATGACAAGCTCCATCATAAGCCTCGCGTAAAGGGCGTGGTACAACTTCTCAACGCATTCAACCAAGGGAGCGATCTTTTTGGACGCGATGGCATCTTCTGCGTCTCTGATGCAAACCATTAGGCCGCCCTGAAATCCATCCAGCTAGAAACAGATACACCAAATGGTTAGCGGCTATCTTTCTGTGCCGGACTTCGGGCTTATAATCTCCTTACTTCAACGCCATAGTGGATGAAGCACATGAAGACCACTTTAGCGACGGTGTACACCTTCACGTATACAGCCAGCACACTGTTCCTCCAGGATGAAACATCATAACCCTGCGCATCATCCAGATTCTTGAGATATCCCGTGACAGTATTCCATTCGACAGCGCCGACGGCGTAAGGAGAGAAAGGAAATTCGGCAGGGGCCGTTCGCTGTCAAATCGGTGTCAGTTTCCAGCCAAACTTGGGGACAGAATCACAACGAGATGCCAAAGCCAACATACAGCTGACGTGTACGACATCCCTGTGCTGTCCGAAGACCGCAGTCCCATGCTCTCAACCGTATCTCTGTATTCTTCGTCACTCTGTTGTAGAACTTCCAACGAGTACTTGTAGAAGCCGTCAGTGTGCTCGCTGAACGAAGAAGAGGAAACAGAAATAAAGGAACGGTGTTGGGGGTAGTCATGCTCGCTGCTCCTGAGTTCTCGCCGAGTGAAGAGCTTCCGCCGAGTGAAGAGCTTCCGCCGAGCAATAGCCCATAGCTGGGAAGCGGATCTGTGACTCGGTACCATTTTGCTCGCTTTGCAAGATGATTCCATGAATGTCACAGTACGGCGGGTATCAGACTCCGTATGAGTGGTAAGGCCGCCGATGAGAGACGAGATGAGAAGGTTAACGGTAACTTTCAATCATTCGCAAGAGTATACCCGTGCCTGCTTGATAGGTAGAGAAGACAGTGAATGGTCATGCTGGGTGTTAACACTACACAGGGTGAGGAGATTCTTGTGGGTTGGCCAGATTGATGCTGGGAGAGAAAACGAGAAGGCGCTCACGGGGTCAACAGCCAGAGCAGTACCTGCTCTTCAGCCAATTCATCCTCCCTGCTATCTATGACTTGGGCAGATAAGCAGTGGTTACTACTTGAAAGGGAAGTGAACCTGTTCATCTGAGTACTGGTGAAAGCCTAGCCAGGTCTCTCTATTGTTTCTATTTTGTGAGTTGCGATCACCTATTTGAGGTATATAGAGATATGTTGTGCCACTCGCAAGTACTTCTGTAAGGTGCTTAAAGTTGCCTGTGAGATACGATACGAACAGACCCGTATGATACACATCTACTAACATTGCCTAATCATATGCATGATGTGTTGACATGTTGTGATTTGTATTGTCTTGTAGCTTTCGCACAGAATTGCAGGTGTTTGCACAGAAAGTCTATCTCCCAAAACAAAGTAACGTAACCGAAGAATACTCTTCAGTCACCGGAAAGACGAAACAACAGAAAGCCTCCCCTAGAGAACAAGAAAGATAAGAATAATAAAAAGTAAAAAGCAGGTGTAAACTACAATAACCCAGGATCGACTTCAATAGGGGCCTTGTCCCCATGGTCAGAATAAGGCAAGATGACTTCTGGTATCTTCCAAAGGACATTATTGGCCCTGTCGATGTATTCGGGAGGGATATTCGCGCTCTCGCTGAAAGACAGAGACTGTCACGATTACTCTGTCAGCTTATTGAATGAAGGCGTCTCAGAACATAACTCCACTTACACGCAAGCTGGTCAGACCTCTGACCCATTCAAGGCCAAAGTCGCAAAATTCGTTGGGCAGATGTTCATAGTCTTCGATGGGATGGGCAAGTACCTGGTGGCAGTTTTCCAACCAGAGCACTTTGAGCTTCCGACCAGGAGCTAGACTGTTCTCATCTATTCCTCGCTCTTCTGGCTCGTAGGAAACTCCCCCTAGCCAGTTCAAAAACTCAGGCTGTGCACCGCGACATGTTCTCAGTTTGAGAACAGTCAGCTTGGGGTTTTTCTTCACAAGCATGGTCAACTGCCACGGAGTTATGCCCGCCCGCTCCAGGATTAACGTCTGTAGCCCGCAAAGCCCATATTGGGGATACCGTCCTATACCGAGTAACATATTCCATGCCGTACTTCCCGGGGCAGGATTCAGCCAAGTGCTAGGTCTGATGGGGCCGTCCCGAATGTGTGGATGCTCAAAGCGCAATGCTAGATGATGCAATATGTTCTTGCATTTGGAAGCTAGAGCCATGGCACCCTCGCTGTCAAGATCATACGCCATGAACTCCAGTTTCCTAAGTCCTCGGCCATACCGATTCACCACTTGGGCAAAAACCCTATTTTGCTCCCTAATCATCTGCTCCAATGTTCGGGATTTTTCAAGTAATGCAGGGCACCGTCTTTTCAAGCTTTTCATTTTCAGTAGAGGCTTGCTGTCCAAGTCGCTCGCAAGGCGGCTCATGGCAGGTTGGATGATGGATATTGTGTAGTCATTCGCTTGTTTGTTGTGACTGGAAATCTGTGCCATTTGATCCGGCGTGGTCCAGCCAGCCTGGAGTAAGGATATCACAGAGTGAATGCGCTTTTCAAAAACCCCTAATCGTAGACATTCAAGACAGAGGGTATGGGACTCATAGTTGGCGCGAGATGTTTCGCCGAAGGCAAGCAAGGACTCGAAGGGAAGGTAGGAGAGTATGTGAAGGATGAGCTCCAAGGGTAATAAGCTAATCTTGTCGGACATTTTGTGAAACCTGGCTAGAGGTTTTAACCCTCCCATAAGATCCTCTTAACTGCCAGTAATATGTTGTCGCCTGTATTTTGGGCGCTGCCTGGTCGCCCACTCCGTTTGTCCGCAGTTCAAGGTCCCCTCAACATGGTCGGCCCAGGGGGTGGATAAAGCGGGAGTAAGCTACAACGAGCGGAGAAAGGTATAAATATGAAAAGATTCGGTCAAAAACGATGACAGAAGCTGATTCCCTTGTTGTTAACGTTGAATTTTTGGCCGTTATATTGGCTTGGGTAGTCTAGGGAACTATCTGTTGGCGATGGAAGGAAGTGAAATGCAGGCGAAACGCAACGATTGTTTGCGTAAAGCAGAACGGTAGTAGATATTGCTGCGGATCACATCTAGTTTTTCGCGCTGGAGCAGAGGCGCTGCGATATATAGCATGCAGGGTTGCGACGCTCTGGAGGGCTAAGCTGCGCCCTGGCAGGGATACCTTGCAGGCGGGGTCCCCCCGACAGTTTTAGTAGTTCTCACCGTCGAGACTGGCCCCTCTAGCCGAAGAGATGGTCACATTCTCTCGGTTGGAACGAAGTAGCGAGTGAGGATGCTCTACTTAAAACCTCAGTAATATTTCGCATCAAATAGAAGGAAGGGGAAACGTAAGCGAAAAGTGAATCAGCCACGAACAGGTGTTGCCATTGGGTTGCGGTCAGGAAATTCAAAAAGGGTTTACTCGGGCTCTAACTATTGCTGTCATTTTTTAGTCCGGTGGGAACAGATTCAATATAGACGGCTTCTGCTAGAAAACCCACTTAACCAACTAGACGGCTGACCTGGCATGATCAAGGCGAATGGCCGCCCTCTTCTACAGCGCACTATCGGCTAGATAGTGCTGGGCATACAAAAACCATGCATGACCTGCTTGGGATAGGACGTGGCTCATGTCCAACATGTTTGCACTTCACCGTCGAGCTGAAAAATCCGGTGGCGCATGCCTTCTGTCGCGACCCGTCGCGGTGTTTCTCATTTGTTAGTGCAGGTTAGACTAAAACTACACCCGCTGTACAGCTTGAACGGAGCGGGTGTCCAGTGTCACAGGCGATCCTTTCACTGCTCGTGCCTAGACTGAACTAGAGGAGCTGATATCTGGAAGAACGTACGGATTGGGGTCAGCGTTGCCCGTTCTTGGCCATTGCGCATTTAATGGGGACGCCAATGCAGCGTGAATCCCTGGTGTCGGTTTGCAAAAGAAAATATGCGGTAATCCCACTAAGGTCGCAGGAAGCGGTTATCGGCATGTACCCCGTATGATAGATAGACCCAACATGGAGGATAGCACGCCGAGCCGGCCACATCTCCCAAACTCCCATCCAGCCAGCCAGCAAACAGGCAGTTACTCGACAGTGTCGAATAAAAACCTGCGGAGATGCCGGAGACGATCAACGTAGGTTAGACGAGAGCTGAGATCACATCATCACCACAGCACCCCGTTTCTCCGATCGAGGCTGGCTAGATAGCGACTACCCCCACGAATCCTGGCCATCAGTCAACACCAATTTAATCTCCTTGCAGTCAATGTGTGACACCGAACCGATCCCCTGGGACTTCTTGCCCAATTGAAGGCCACCTGTTGGGCGATCCGAGTCATATTTGACGATCAGGTGCATTGATAGGGCGGTTCGGATGGTTCACACGCTTAAATCGGGTCATCTGTTTGCTTTTCACCCAGCTGGACCTGTGGCTGCAGCTAGAAGACAGCCACGGTAACATATCGGAGTGCTTCGGCCGATCTGAGGCTCGAATCCGAACCAGTGCATCCTGCGCGAGTGTTCGTCGGCCATAGCGGAATAGCGCAGTGCTAGACCCACGCCAGTGTGCTTAACGTGCAGGACGGGGTTGGAGGTTAGACCGGAAAATACCTTGTGACAGATGGGGAAAGTGAAACATTGTAGTGGAGATTAAGGAGGCTCCCTCAAAGCGTTGTTTTCAGCTCTGCAGCTTGTCAAGCATTCGTAACAGGGAAGAGAAAGGACGGGAGGGAGAGCTGAAGCAGCAGCCGGCGGTATTTATGGGTTGGTTAGTAGTGTTATACTGCAGCAAATAAAACAAAGCAAGGCAGCCGCACTACTACTTCAAGCCACATGCAGCTGTCATGCGTTTGACAATGCGAGGTAGCGAGGGTAAATATAATAAAAAGTAACGAACTCAAGAGAAAAGAAAAGGAACAAAAAAAATACTTATGATGCTCGACAACCTATACATCCTAGAGAAAAATAAAATCGACTTATGCATGTGCGTATGTCACCCCTCGCCTGCAATTTACAAAGATTATATTCTTGAGCCAGCTCTCTATCCCTGAACCCTGAAAGTACGGCCACTGGCCGTCTTCCTTTCTCGCTCCTCGTTCTCGGGCCGCGCCCGGTTGAGAACTATTATTCATTAGTGACCTGGACATACCTTCATTGTTGGGGGTCCACTCTTACCTTGGAGGAAGTCCGCGGTCCTCTTGCGCATCCTAGTGTGAATGTATGCCTGGATTCTAAGTAAGCATGTTGACCTGGCCTGCAAAAATGACAGGGAAAGCTACCTTAGATGCTTTGATGTGGTAATGGAAGTAATCACGGAAAATCTGGATGTGGGAAATGTTCTCATAGCGTCGCTGTGGGGTCAGGTGGCGAGGGAACAGGACTATGAGCGTTTAGTGACAGCTAACGGGTGGGTGATGCATATCAAACCGAATACATACCGAAAGTGACATAGCTGATACTACCGTCGTTACCGTTCTGGATGCCAGGCACACCAGCCAGCTCCAGGGGACAGTCGTTTCGGAAGAGTACTTGAGGGGCATTCTGCAGGGTAAGGACACGGCGTCTGGCATCGACGAATTCCTGCAGGAACACCTTGCCAAAGATGCGATCTGTCTCCTCCCGGAACACTGTGCTGAAGATCACTGTGACACGATCATGGCTGGCTTTAATGTAAATCGCTTCCTCCTCTCGATAGTGAATGGCCATAACCTCTCCTCCTTCCTTAACTCCCTGGGGC